CCAAGAATCGCATCATAGTCAAGATCAAAGATAGGTACACCACGCCTAGACAGGTCTGCCCAGTGGGGAAACTCAGTAGCCTCGGGAGACTTGGCGCGCCAGGCGTCGCTAAGCCTAGAGAAGCAGCGATACTCAGTGTGAGAGCCGTTGCATGGGCGACCAGCGCGGGGGCCAGTGCGAATGATATAGGGGCAGCGAACAGGTCCCCCAGACGCCCCACGCTGAGCATACCAGTCATGAAGTTGCTGAGGGGAGGGGGTCTGCTACTGACGCTGCTGTTGGTGCTGGTGCTGCTGCTGTGGCGGCTGCTGCTGCTGCTGTTGCGGCTGTTGCTGCTGCTGTCCCTGACCACCACCGAAGCTTCCCTTCTGGCTGCCACCACCACTCCCTCCCCCCCCACTACCCCTGCCACCACCACTCCTTCCTTCCCCACTACCGCTGCTGCCACCGCCACCGGTCCCGGTACCACCGCCGCCCCCACCACCACCTCCACCCCCACGACCACCCCCACCACCTCCACCTCCCCCACCGCCTCCACCACCGCCTCCTCCACCGCCACCTCCACCTCCCCTACCACCCCTGTTGCCCCTGGCGCTGCGGCGCTTCCCGCTTGGAGCGGAAGCAGCCCCGACCTCCTCAGCACCAAGGTAGTTGAGAGCAGCAGCAGCAGCAGCAGCAGAGGCGTAGGAGCGGGCAAGAGGGGAGGGTGAGCACCCCTCAAAGAGGGGAGTGCGAGGAGTGCCACGAGCAGCACCTACAGCGAGGATGTTCTTTTTGGCTGCTAGGAGGTGCTTCTCGAGGTCGTCGACAGTGAGAGAATGGGGGTCTAGGGCGAGGAAGTGGTCCCTGACTGAGCGAAGAGTGTCAGGGAGGAGGGTGATGAGGAAGTAGAGAGTAAAGTACATCTGGGGGTGATTCTCGGCGAGGAACTCGGTTGGAAGGGCTGCACGAAGGCGAGCGTCACTAGCGCGAAGGTGAGAGATGAGGTCCTCAGCCGTGGTAAACGAGGATAGGTCGGGGAACAGGTAGGGTAGCATAAGACGACCTAGAGCTGCAGTGGCTGGGGAAGAGTAGCGGGCAACTACAACCTCATACAGTGCCTTAGCAGTCTTGTGCTGACTAAAGTGCGCGCGCTCAGTGATCGGCAGATGTTTGTGAATAGCGAGGCGCGCAGCGGCATCACGAGTCTGCCACTGTGAGTGGTCAAGAGCGGCAGTAGGAGCAACGGCAGTGCGAGTCACGTAATCGAACAGTGAAACTCCGTCTTTGGCGTCGGTCAGAAGAAACAGTTGCAGGTCATCGAGCCAAGTGGCAAACTCTACCGAGCGACCGTCAGGATCGAAAGGGAGGATATTGAGAGTCGCCATGAGTGCAGCGCACGTGAGAGTAGCGCGTAGGTGGCAGAGCAGAGCACAGACAGGAGAAGCTGCGGACAAGGCGGCAGAGGCGGCGCACAAGCTGCTGGGACGACACGCACGTGGCAAGGGCGGCGCGCAGGGCAGCGGTGAGGCGCTCGCAGGCTGCTGAAGTGGCGCGCGGGTGGGTAAGGCAGCGCGCGGCAGAAGCGGGCCGCGCTAGGGCGGCGGACGCGGCGCGCTGGGCAGCAGCGGGCTGCGCGGGCGGCGGACGCAGCGCGCGGGGCAGCTGCGGACTGTGCGGGCGGCGAACGCGGCGCGCGGGGCTGCAGCGGGCTGCACGGGCGGCGAATGCGGCGCGCGGGGCTGCAGCGGGCTGCGCGGGCGGCAGACGCGGTGCGCGGGGCAGGTACGGGCTGCGTGGGCGGCGGACGCGGCGCGTGGGGCTGCAACAGGCGGCGGACGCGGCGCGAGGGGCTGCAGCAGGTTGCGCGTGCGGCGGACGCGGCGCGCGGGGCAGCTGTAAGCCGCGCGCAAGCTCCTACGGCGGCGCGCGAGGCAGCAGCGGGCCGCGTGCGTGCTCCTAAGGCGGCGCGCTCGGGACTAGAGCAGCGCGCGCAGGCAAGACAGAGGCGCGGGTGGGCAGCGCAACGCAGGCAAGGCAGGGCGCGCGCGGGCAGCGCAGCGCAGTCACGACGTGGGGCAGCTCAGTAACTGCAATGGTACGTGGGCCCTAAAAAAATCGGTCCTACAGACCTAATGCTCTGAATACCATGTCAGAATGCTAGGCAGGAATGAAATTACTAGATCAAGGTTTGGTACAAAAATGAAACCCTAATGGGGTTGTACGCCATATTGGCTACCCCACTACAGCCTACACATATATAACATGCACATAATTTGACAAGAGGGACTTGTTGATGGCGTTCGCCTCTTTGAGCCGTTCTTCCACGGCCCCTGTCGAGTCAGACCTGCCAAAAGTGGAAAGTGGTGGACAGGGATGAAGTGCAGGGTTGTGGGAGAGAGAGGGTGGAGGAAGGCTGAGATTTTGGGAAGGATAGCTGGTAAATGCCTGGTGATCAGTGACTGCGTGCGATAGGTGGAGAGGGGTTAGGAGGGCGGAGTGCATCAGTAGGGCCGGGAGGGGACGGTAGGTGGGTGGTGGTGAGTGATACAAGTACTCAAAATGACCGGCATTGTGCGCTCTACCTTACGAATCATCATGAGTGCGAGGCCAAGAGGCGGCAAGCGGATGGGGTACCTAACAGGGCAGGCGTCTTAGCAGCTAGATACGGCAGAAACGGACTGGGTACCTTACAAAGTGCAATGAAATCAGGCGTGCGAAACGAACGGGTTACCTTTCGGAGCCTGCGAGGTCAACTAGGTTGAGTTGACTGTTGCGCTGAAAGCTGTTGCCTCCGGAGGTCCACTGCATTGGTAAAAAGACACGGATACATTCCCGCACACACTAAAGTGAGGTACGAGGGTGTGCCATACGAAAGTGACATAAGTCAGAATCTTGTCATCGTCTGGATATGTTACCATTATTTTCTTATAACCACATGCATACTAGTTGGTGTAGTCTCATTCTTGGTTTTTATCTGTTGATGGTGTACCCCCCTTGCCACCTTCCCTACCTATATCTAGTACCGTGCTTTCTAATAAAACCTCTTCTTCTCTCTCGCAACTCTCGCTACGTTCCTAAGCTCCTATGTTCAGTTCGTTAATAGCGCCATTTTTCTTTTCTTCATGGCGTCGTGCAGCCCAATGCGCCCCCTCTCAGGCCCTGCCACGCACCTTCTTAGGCGTCGCTGCTCGCCCCATGTCGGCACGGTAGCAGTGCGTGATGTGCACGCCAGCGTGCGACAAGCAGCAGCAGTAGCAGCACGCATGAAACAGCGCACACGCAACCGCACACGATCGTCGGAGCCACAGGGTGCTTGGGAAAGACCGCTGTCACTGCACCTTCCGTGTGCGCCTCTTTGACCGCAGCTTTGCCCTGCGACAACACAACCCGTCCTGCCACTTGTACAAGTGACCACGAACCGTTGCAACTCGCAGCCACATTGTCACCACCAGCAGTAGCAGCAGCAGCAGCAGCAGCATCCTCTCCCTGCCGCGATCTCGGCAGAAACAGAAACAGCGGGACAGAACCAGCAGCAGAGATGAAAGTACGCCTTCCAGCACTGGAGTAAAAGAGATTGGCGACCATTTCCCCGATCCCGCTCGGTTCATCGCAGATGATGGTCGGGCGAGCACGCTGAATTGATCAGGGGTGTGGTGCTCGATTTCCTGCCTTTGTGTCAGAATTAATTCCCTTCATCCACTGCCATTGCTTCTGGAAAAGCATGTTGCTACCCGATTGAGGGGGTGAGGTGGGGGGAGATCCAGGTGGGGGAAGAGAAGGTGGTGGAGAGTGGGGTGGGGATGGGAGGACTGGAGGGTTGATGCCCCCTATTCCTGGTTTGGGCTCTTGCTGTCTGTTGCAAGGGCTGTTGCTGCTGCTGGTGGTGCTGTTGCTGCTTCTGGTGCTGCTGCTGCTGTTTGTGCTGATGCTGTTGCCACTGATGCTGATGCACCTATTAGGCTAGCTGGTGATCCTGACTTTCCTCTTGTTCTCTCTGATGATGTTTCTGCAGTGCTGATGATGATAAGGCGATAGGGTTTCGATGGTGGTGGTGGTAGTGGTTGTGGTGATGCTGCTCATGATGATGATGACAGGCTCGTTGCTGTTGCTTCTGTTCCTGCTCCTGCTCCTGCTACTGCTACTGCTGTTGTTGCTGCTGCTGCTGCTGCAGCTGTTGCTGATGCTGTTGGTGCTGCTGCTGGGTCTGCTACTACTGCTTGGTCAGTTGATGCTTCTGCTGTTGGGTCTGCTGTTGCTATTGTTGGGTCAGCTGATACTACTCTGACTGATTTCGCCGCAGCCATTGCTCATCGTTCTTATGCTGCTGCTGCTGCTGCTGTTGCCGCTGGTGGTGTGGATGCTGCTGGTTATGATGGTGCTGATGGTGATGCTGATGCTAACGATGGCGACGCTGATGCTGCTGCTGCTGCTGCTGCTGTCGAGTTTAGTGATCATGCATTCACTGATTCTGCCACAGCAACTGCTCATGGCGTTGCGACTGGTGATGATGGGTGTCTGTGCTGCTGATGCTGTTCATGTTATTGGTGCTGTGGATGCTGCTGATTATGATGGTGCTGATAGTGCTGATGCTGGTGCCGTTGCTGCGGATGCTGATGATGCTGCGGATGGTAATGACACCGCACGCAGCTCCCTCCCCTTCTGCAGCTCGTGCTCCTGCTTCTTCTGCTACCACGCTTGCTGAGGGAGAAATAGAGAAGAATGTGGAGGAAGAGAAGATGGGGGTGGCAGAGGGGGAGTTAGAAGAGGGAGAGGTGGCAGAGGGGGAGGAAGAAGAGGGGGAAGTGGCAGAATTGGAGGGGAGCAGGAGGAGGATTTGAAGAAGAAAGACGAAGGGGAAGAGGCTGAGGAGGAAGGAGGGGTGAGAGAGGGGGAACAGGAGGAGAAGCAGGAAGAAGCAGAGGGAACTGAGGAAGGAGAGGTGAGAGAGGAGGAACAGGAGGAGAAGCAGGAAGAAGCAGAGGAGACTGAGGAAGGAGAGGTGAGCAAGGAGGAGCAGGATGCGAATCAGGAAGAAGCAGAGAGAAGGGGAGGTGAGAGAGGAGCAGGAAAACGGGGAAGAAGGGGAGGAGAGTGAGGAGGACGGGGAGGTGAAAGAGGGGGAGGAGGAGGAGGAGGAGGAGGAGGAGGAGGAGGAGGAGGAGGAGGAGGAGGAGGAGGAGGAGGAGGAGGAGGAGGAGGAGGAGGAGGACGAGGAGGAGGAGGAGGAGGAGGAGGAGGAGGAGGAGGAGGAGGAGGAGGAGGAGGAGGAGGAGGAGGAGGAGGAGGAGGAGGAGGAGGAGGAGGACGAGGAGGAGGAGGAGGAGGAGGAGGAGGAGGAGGAGGAGGAGGAGACTCGGGAAGATGAGGATAGTAGGGAGGAGGAGGAGCAGGAGGAGGAGACTCGGGAAGACGAGGATAGTAGGGAGGAGGAGCAGGAGGAGGACCAAGAAGAACGGAAGGGCAGTGAAGGGAAAGAGGCTGGTGAGAGGGGTTGCAGTGGGAGTGGGGACGGTGGGAGTGGGGACGGTGGTGAGAGTGGGGACGGTGGGAGGGGGGACGGTGGGAGAGGGGACGGTGAGAGGGGGGACGGTGGGGGGGAGGACAGTGGGAGGGAGGTTGGTTTGCAACATGCAAGACCGCAGGGGGGTGGGAGGAAACGAAAGACCATGGATGAGCAGAGAGGATGGGAAGCAGGAGATGACGGAGTAGGGGAAGGTGGAGCAGGGAAAGGAAGAACAGAGGAAGGGAGAGCTGGTGAAGTTAGAGCAGTACAAGTGAGAGCAGCAGAGTGGAGACCAGAAGAAGGGAGAGCAGCAGAGGGGAGACCAGAGGAAGGGAGAGCAGCAGAGGGGAGACCAGAGGAAGGGAGAGCAGCAGAGTGGAGACCAGAGGAAGGGAGAGCAGCAGAGTGGAGACCAGAAGAAGGGAGAGCAGCAGATCTGAGAACAAGGGGAGAAAGGGCAGGGGAGGGAGTGGAAGGGGGGTGGAGGCGGTGGCAAAGGCAAAGGAGCAACAGGGTATGTAGACCGCGTTTGCTTCTCAACCTGCAGCTCTGCTCCTCACCTTGGTTGGCTGTCGCACCCGCAGTCACATCACCTGCTGCCACCGCTATTTGAACACCTTCTGTCACTTGTACCGTTGCAAGTGATTCACTGGCCCCTGCTGCCATGCCTGATATTGCACGCCCTACTGCAATACCAGGTGTCGCACCTGCTCCCACCCTTGAAGACCAGCAAACTGCAATGCATAGAGTGGTACCAAGAGTGCAGCAGGGGCTGTCAAACTGCTCACCTTCTTCCAATGTGCCAACCTTCACCTTGCCTTCTGCATCCACCCCTTCTGCATCCACCCCTTTTGCATCCACCCCTTTTGCATCCACCCCTTTTGCATCCACCCCTTTTGCATCCACCTTACTTGCATCCTCGACCCCACCATCTTCCTCAGCAGCCCCAAGCGTCCACCATCTTGCTCTTGACCCGCGAATCCGCTACCTAATCAACACGATTCTTGCTCCCACAAGGACAACTGGGCGGCAGAATCAGAGTATATAGCGCGACTGCATGTCCATCAACCAGTTGCATATGTTTGTCGGCAGCGAGAACATATGGCAACCGCATGACTCAGTAATCAACAGCACGAGTCCAAGACAAGATTAAAATATGCACTTATGATGTGATGGGTTAACAAAACAATATGGTAGTGAGTCACAACAATACAGACAGATACGTCCACGTTTTCTGTGTCGAGTACCGGTATTTGTTATTTTTCCAATTGAAGACCCCTCAAGGGTGGATAGTAGGATACTTTATTTCGGTATTGAGTTCTACTACCGTCATCGCCCGGATATAAGACATGTATGTCTTATTCCATACATAAAAAAAAAAAAAATCAGTCCTATAAATGGACAAAAATCCGTTTAGAAGATACTTCCTCGTTATACATTTGCCATTTGCCCCTACACACAAATAGGTGTCTTATAATGAGGCTACCCCGTTTATAAGAGACACCCGTATAATAGACCAGGGCCCACGATATCAGGGCAAAACATCCTGATTACCCTGATTTCAGGATGGTGTTTTAAGTTTGCCCTGAAATTTCAGAATGACGATGAAATTTACCCTGTAACGTCAGGATGATTCATGTGTTTTGCCCTGAAATTTCAGAATGGCAGTGAGATTTTGCCCTGAAGCGTTAGGGTGAATGTAGAGGGATGCCCTGACTCATGGGAAGGGGAAGAAGGGGTGGAGGGGAGGGGGGGAGAGGGGGAGAGGGGAGGAGGGAGGCTCGGGGGTGTGTGTGCTAGTTTTGTCCCCCCCCCCCAAGGTTTTTGCTCAGCCCATTGTAGTGAAACCACTGAACAACCTGCTCCTCTCGTGGCTTCCCCTCCACTCTAGTGTCTTGTATTTTTTTGCCCTGAAACATCCGGATGAATTTCTGCTGGTGCCCTGAAATTTCAGGATTGCCAGGAAATTTTGCCCTGAAAAATCAGGGCATTTTGGAGAGTTTTCAAAAGTTGCCCTGAGGGCTCAGGGTGCCCTAAATCCTAGCACAGGCCCTGTAATAGACAACCCCTGTCTACTATTCAACACGGTCTTATATCTGGGTGATGACGGTACCCCTTCTGGGCTAAAAACATTTGCTGATGAAGCCAAGATTGCCCAATGGCAAGAGTACGGTAGTGACACCTGGCAAACGCGTGAGGGTGAGAACCAGGGCTGACTTATAGAATGGATAAGCATGAGGTCAAAACGGTCCGGCTTACAAACCCATGCAATGGGCAATTGTGTAGAGAGGGGAACTGGCCAACAAGGCCCTTACGCCTCATTCTGCCATGGTTAATGTGGCAAATATGACTGGAACAAATTTGTGCAGGGCCATGTGGTTTTTCTTAATTTATTGAATCTCATTTGTGTTGAAGTTATCGTTTCATGCCCATCTAGCACCCATGTGCTACTCTGTCTTGACACTCTTTGGGCTGCGAGGCTTGTACACCATTGATAGACTAATCAGGAGAATTGGAATCACAGTTCCACTATAGTACATGCCACTATAGGATGAGTAAGCACCTGATAGTGTCATCACCTGCACCAAGAACAATCATAGCAAACACAGTCAAACGAGAGAGGCAATGCGCGTAAAGGAGTGGGCAGCATAGAGACATGGAGGCCCAGAGTGAGATTTACGGCCCCAGCAGCAAGGTTTATGGAGAGATTTTTGAAACAATAGTGAGACATGCACGCTTACACAAAAGGCGCTGGCGACGTAGCTGCCGACGAAGATGCTATAGAGGGTATGAAGAAGGGCTACAATGCGGTGGGTGATGGTGCCCTTGGGGATTCCAGCTGTGAGCTGGTAGATGGCTGCATGAGAGTGAAGAGACATGAAGGGAAGAAAGGGGGGGGATAGATTTGGGAGAGATGATTGCAGCAACTGGTGAGCCCAAGTAACAGGTAATTTTCCCATGGTGGAGGGTTTGGGAAATGGGTATGAGATCTAGGGAATGGTGGTGCGAATGGGAATGGAAAATGGGAATGCACAGTAGAATCGGATGGTTACGGAAAAGAAATCAGGCTTGGAATGGAAGTAGGAACAGAAATGGGATGGAAAAAAAGGTTGCCACAAGTGCAGCAAATTGCGAGATTGTAGTGGTCTTCAAATTCTATTCATGCAACAATCAAGTTCCATTTGAAAAAAGAAAGGCTGTTTTGGGGTGGGTACACACCTTTGGAGCTGGCAACAACAAGCGCCCAATTCGCGAAGGCGATGAAGTCACCCCAATTCAAGCCCTGTTGGTAACACAGAGTGGGGGGTTGGTAAAAATGCACACGGTTGGGAGATTATGGAGTGGGGGACACAGACTTTATAATTAACAAATAATCTGAGATAGAGAGCGCAAGTGAAAACAGTAACGCATGCATATGGCTCTGCATGCTTAGGGTAGGAGGTCCTCAGCAATCAATGAATGAGAATCTTGCCCCAATGGAACCAAGCTTGGCGAGTGGCAAACACCCTTTTGTGGGTGCTGTTCGTACATGCTCGTGTTCGCCATTTGCTCAAGCCTAGGTAGGAGGTCCTGTGCAATCAGAGAATGAGAAGCTTGCACTAATGGCGAGTTGACTTTTGAGTTGACTCAAAAGTCAACATGAACCAAGGCTATATATGCTGATCGTTAAAAGCTTCACTGGTCAGTACTGTGGTGCCAGAACCGGAATTTGAGAAAGCAGTTTGCACAAATTGGCCTTGGGTGCCAATATGAGCAATTATGTTCTGGCTGCTGGCATGAGAGGGAGGTGGGGTGACGTGAATGGGGGCAGGAGAGAGTGACGCAGAGATAACGCTCGTTGGAGATGGCAAGGGGACAACCACATTGGGGGATAGGGGTGACGTACGTGGGGGTAGAGGTAAGGCACATGGGAGGAAGAAACTGGTGGGTAGGGGTTGCAGTGACGCATGTGGGAGGCAGAAACATGGGTGGTAGGGATGATGCACATGGGAGATGAAAGCATGGATTGCGGAAAGGAGGGCGCCCATCGGAGGCAGTAAGCACATGGGAGGCAGTAAGCACATGGGAGGCAGTAAGCACATGGGAGGCAGTAAGCACATGGAACGGGGTAAGGAAGAACACACATGGGAGAGAGAAGCATGGAACGGGGTAAGAATGAACGCACATGGGATAGAGAGGCATGGAACTGGGAAAGGAGAACGAGAAGCAAGGAACGGGGTAAGGGAGAACGCACATGGGAGAGAGAAGCATGGAACGGGGTAAGGGAGAACAAGAATGGAAGAGAGAAGCATGGAACGGGGCAATGTAGAACGCACATGGGAGAGAGAGGCATGGAACGGCGTAAGGGAGAGCGCACATGGGAGACGGCGCTGACGAGCATGGTGGCGAGCATGTGGACGAACGTGGGCCTCCTGCCGGGCGGCACCATTCGGTTGTACACGTCTGTGTCCAGGGGGGCGCAGGTGACCAGTGGTGGGTGGATGGTCTGGCAGGGAGTCACGAGGGAGCATGATAAGCAAGCACGACGCATGACGCAGGACGCATGAAGCAATGACGCATGGCGACGCATGAGGCAAGCACATTCATACATTCTTATGAAGGTGAAGCATAGAGCATGAAGCATGCGTGTGCCAGCGCCAATGAGCTATGTTGGAATATACGTGTTTACCGTAAATACGCGCGTATCGTATATACGCTATCATATACGCTATCCGCTAAGGGGTCAGTTTGGACATACGCTTTTTCGGGCAGGGAACAAAAATCCCGGGCAGGGTGGAAAAAACGTCCTGCACAACACCGAGAAGGTATTCCCTATTTTCACTAAGACTTTCGTAGCAAATTTTCTAAGTCTGAACGGCGACTGGGGTGGGATGTGTAGTAGATACTGTCGCAAGAAGTAGGAATCGGAATGAACTCTGTTGGGAAGCGGTAACGTTAAAGGACACATCCAGAATTACCGTGTCGGCCCCAAAACTGTCACCACTTTCACGCGATTGGTCGAAGGTTTTGAGTGGGTTTTTATTGCGATTGGTTCCCATTCTTCCCACCGAACCTCCTTCTGGGGTTTTCCGAACCTACAATTTTTTCGTTGACTTAGTTGTGTAATTTGGGGTGTGGCCTTTAAATAGAAATGACGAGTGCAGTGGGGCTGGCTGGTAAGTAGCGTGAGTGGGGTTTGTTGAGGGAAGTTTTTGACAGGTTGGAGTGCGTAGATGGGATGGGTTTCAATGGGGTACTAATCGGAATTGTACTTCTGAACTGCCAAACTGAAAACTTCGAAGGCACATTCCTGCTTCCCTGGATCTCCGAATTGCAAAATGCTCACCTGGAGATTTCGCATTTTTCCGTATACACACGATTTATTTTCCCGGGCAGAACCTAAAAACTTCTGACTGCGTACAGCGTATTAGCTGGCATATAGTGTTTTGTGTATAGACTCAAGCGTATATACGCTTTAGGGTCGGAACGTTTCCTTTATTCCAACTTAGCCCAAGAGAAATGCTGGGAGCACATGCACATGAGCGAGAGAAGCGCAAAATTCAAACTCGCAGAGATCCCGGAACGGTTCAGAGAGGTCCAAAGAGGTGAAGAGAGCCACAGTTTGGTTCAAAGTGGTTCAGGGAGGTCGAGAGATGGAGGCGCAGTTCGGCGTGGACTCACAAAGCCTGAGCCAAAGGCTGTTGGAGATGTTCCACGTGGTGGCAAGAGGAGCAGAGTGGTTCAGACAGATCCAGAGAGGTCAGATATCGATACAGTGCGGTGCGGACTCACAGAGCCTGAGCCAGAGGCCGTAGGAGATGTTCCACGTGGTAACAGAGATGAGGCAGCTCTTGGGGAACTCAACCCCCAGGATGTCCACGTTGCGAGCCCGGCTCCACAGCGCCTTCCCCTCCCCTGCAGGCGCCGCACACGTCCTATCACCCTCCTGCTTCCCCGCATCCCCATCCCCACCGCACTTCCCATTGACCATCGCCCCGTCCAATCCCCCCCCGTTCAACTTCACGTCCCCGGCCTTCCCAGGGTCCCCCGTGGGGGTCTCCCAGCCGGTGAAGCCGAGCCCGGCGGTGATCATGGCGGCCTCGGTGATGCTCCACACGATGTACGCGCGGAAGCGCCACACGATGCACGCGTGGTGCGCCACGAGCCAGCGCACGTGGAAGGGGTGGGCGCGGTTCTTGTGTAGGTTGCTGATTTGAGTGAGGTCGAGCGAGGGGGACACGAGCAGGAAGACGAGCGCTGAGAGCACGCCCTGGATGAACGCGCGGCAGAATGGCGCGCGGATGGGCGGCTGCTTGACACCCGCGGACCAGATCTGCAGGTGGTGAGGACGGACGGGGATGGGCGGGAGGGAACGCGCAGACTGGTGACGTGCGCGCAGGTAGATGACTGTTTGAATGACAGAAGGTACACAACCGTTTACAACCGCGCTAAAAAACGAACCTGAGGCGATCAATTCTCCACTTTCACCGCGCCCTAATTGGCTCCCGCCAAAACAAATGTTTGCCTGGATCTCTACACTCTCACTCCCCTGTCGTCGTCCGTCCCGTCTCCCTCCCGTTGCAATCCTGTCCTCCCGTTCTCTCTGCCCTCCCGTCGCCCTCCCGTCGCCCTCCCGTCGCCCACCCGTCGCCCACCCGTCGCCCTCCCGTCGCCCTCCCGTCGCCCTCCCGTCGCCCTCCCGTCGCCGTCCCGTCGCCCGCCCTGACGCCCGTCGTCTGTGTCGTCTCTCCCGCGATTGCACTCGCGGTCATCCTCTTGTCACACTCGCGATCGCCTTCTCCTCCCCTTCCCGTCCCGTCGCCCTTGCTCTCTCCCCTCCTTTCCCGTCGCCCTTGCTCTCTCCCCTCCCTTCCCGTAGCCCTTGCTCTCTCCCCTCCCTTCCCGTAGCCCTTGCTCTCTCCCCTCCCTTCCCGTCGTCCTTGCTCTCTCCCCTCCCTTCCCGTCGCCCTTGCTCTCTCCCCTCCCGTCCCATCGCCCTTGCTTGCTCTCTCCCCGCCCTTCCCGCCGCCCCTAATGCAGTCGTCGTGCTTCCTGTCTCACCTCCCAACACCCACCCCTTCGCCCTGGCGCTCGCACCGAAACGCCCTATTCTCATCCCCCGTCCCAATTTCTCCTCCCATCGCCCACCACATCGCCTTTGCTCTTGCTATGAAACGGCCTCTCCGCGCCCTTCCTCCCTTCCCTCCCATCACCCGACCTCTTTCCGCGATTTTGCACACTTATCTCTCTCCTCGCGCCCTCCTTTCCGTCGCCCTGTCTCTTTTGTCTCTGTTCACCTTGCTTACTCTCTGTTTTTTCCCTCCTTTTGTTTCTCGTATGCTGTTTTTGCCGCCATAGCAGGTTATGTTCTAAGGTGATTTGCTGTCCGTGAATTGCACATCTGTGAAATTGCCACGGCATGTGAATGGGACTTGCGTGTCGCAAACTTGCGACACATTTGCAGTGCACATGCTTGCGACGCTTGTTGGATAAAATCTATGAAGACTCTTCACTTCAAGTATCAAACGCGTTTGACTAGAAAACTAAAAAAACAGAACAGCACCCAACCTTCAAGTGAGCCCAACTAGAAGGGGGGGGTCAGAATTTAAGCTGCGGGCTTTAAAGCCCGCAGCCCAAATTGCGGAGCGCACAGGGCAAGATTACTAATCTTGCACGCTTGGTGTTCTGGGTGCTGTATATTGGCGAATTATTGGTTATTGATTGGTGGACGGCTTCTTGAGCGTGAAGGTCCAGATGTGTGCGGTGCGGAGAGGCGATCAGTGGAGAGGAGAGGCGATCAGTGGAGAGGAGAGGCGATCAGTGGAGAGGGGGATACAAGGGAAGTGTGGCAACGGTGAAGGAACGTACCCCTTGTCGTTGGGTCCAGTGATGGTAGGTGGTGAACTCGAAGAAGGGGCCCGTCATGTGCAGCCCGAGGCAGAACAGATACCCCATCACCGCCACCACCGACGGCATGGTAACCAGCGCCGCCTTTCGCCGCTCCAATCGCGAACGCTCCATCCGCCCCTCCCGCCGTCTCTGCTCCTCGGTCAACTCCTTCCTCTCCTTCTCGTCCTTGGCTTGCGCGCCTTCGTCCTTCCCCTCCAGCAGCGTGAGCCCGTCCTGGTAGTTATACGCCACAGCGGTGAGCTTTGTAGCGAGGACGGTGAGCGCGCCTGTGCAGTCGAGCACGCCCTCCGTGCGGGTCTCGTGGGTGCGCATGATGATGTGGCTGCAGGAGGTCGGATCGCATCGAACGAGGGAACGGGAAATGTGAACGTTGGTGATTGAGGAGTTTGAAGCGGGCGGAGTCTCGTGGGTGCGCATGATGTGGCTGTAGGGGGTCGGTCGGATCGCATCATTGATTCGATCATCATTGAACGAGGGAAATGCACGTAAGGAACGGAATATGTGAACGGGAAATGCGGAGACGGGGGGATGTTTGCATGAAGGGAGAGGATGCAAAGAAAGGGAAGGCGCTTTGCGTTTGCACCAAAGGCTGCTACCGTCCTGATCTTGCGGCTTGACTTGTGATTCCAAAACCAAAGAAACACCAAGAAGTAGAGAACGACGAGATGGGGAACTTACCAACCAATCAAGTAAGCGAACGTTCCGAAGAACGTTAGGACGCCGCAGTGTCTTCGAAACAGACGCATTACGGCCATGGAGTAGAGCACGCAAAAGAAGAAATGCGCGTTCGCCGACCATCCGAACACGAACGCCGATAGAAGCAGTCCCGTTACTGTGCAGTACAGGTGGCGAAGTGTAGGCGATAATATGAATCTGTGAAGCCACGCGAGCGGAACGACAGCGAAACTAGCTAGCAGGAACGACGCGGCTGGACGGGGTGTGCCGATAAGGTCGGCGAAAGCCTGAACGGGATCCATGGCGGACCCCATGGCAGATCCTTTGGCGGGCCCCAAGACAAGGAGAAACAATGGGCCGTTGCGGAGGCGAAAGGCGGGTCGAGGCTGTTCTCGCTTTTCGAATACCGTTTAACGGTGTTCTCGCTCCTCGAATACCGCTTAATGGTGTTCTACTAGTAGTCAACGTACTACCCTTCTCGTCCATTTCATATATATTCTTTATGCAAGCAGAAAGATATTACTTTCTTTATGAGAAACACGAACTTTGTCAGGCTCCGACCGACCTTCAGCACCACTACCACCTATGCAAGTGGATTACCGAAGCCTAGGAACTAACTCGGCAACCTGGCCATCCTCGGCCACCTCGGCAAGATAAGGTTGGGTTGACCTTTTGAGGTAAAAAGGTCAACTCTTGTGAGTCGACTCAAAAGTTTGGTTGGTTGGGTGGGATGGGAAACTATACGCTCTGTCACAATTATGGCCGTATTATCACGTTTGGTCACGGGGTCATCACGGACAGTCACAGTACAGTACTTTGCTCACATTCTTCCAGCATTGACGACAACATTAACGACGACTCACAATCAGGGCTCTCGTTATCAGGGTAAAACGCCCTGATTGCACTGACTGACGGCCGCATTTTTTTCAATTACCCTTTCCCAGTGTTGGAAACAAGTAATTTAAACGCTCATGTTGTGTCGAAACAATAGACTGCAAACGAGTCGAATCTCAACGAAGCAATGGCGAGTCAACCGATGAGGTTGACAGAAAGTAACAGCTGGAGGTTACGAGAAGGTCAAAGGTCAGCGACCTTTAATTTAGCGGAATACAGCGCGACAGCAAGGACAAACAACTGATTCGGTATTGAGCTGTTGCCCGAGTCGTCACTATATCGAACCGCAACAGCAAACAGTTAGTTGCACCTTTTTATATCCATTGTAATTTTATAAATACCTTTGTATTACCTTGCTATAATCAATCTCTTGCTCTCACACACTAGTGCAAGTTGGTTCAACAAAGTTCACTAAGAACGCTTCCGCAACTACAACATTCCTACTCAGGGTCTTAGCCTTGAAAGATCCTAAGGGTTTTCTCTCAGCCCAACATGGTATGAGAGCTCACAAGGCAAGATCCAACTTTATTAACACTCCTACAACACCAGAAGACATGGCAACACAGAAGGAGAGAAGCTCTTCCAATGGCTCTCCCGGCACTACTCCTACTCCACCTCCAGCCTCTGGCCTACAGACAGAGGGAGGCACGGCAACAAGACCAGCACCTGAGTCTACTGAAACTCCCGCGAACCAGGCAATAGGCTTCGACCCAAGTATGATGGAGAAATTCTTCTTCTTCATGTCCTTCTACGAGCAGCACCAGCAAACAGCTCCAGCGTAATCAAACAATAGCGACAACAACAACTGCGTTACTCCAATGAGCCTCGACGGCTCATCCTATGCGCGCGGAAACCAACAGCAACCTACCTTTGCTCCGTACGAGCCTCAACGCGGCTCCATAAGCTTCATGCCACACCAACAGCCTCCATCTAGACAAGAAAAAACACTGGACGCGCTGTCAAACATTATATATGTTGTGCTTGTTTAGGCTACAGTGGGTTAGCCTATAAGGGGGTACACAATTCTAGGGTTAGGTACTTGTACTGATTTCACTATTAGTTCAATCATTCCTGTTCATTCATTTCAACATGGTATAGAGCAGGTCCTTCCTAGGACCGATTTTTTTTTAGGGCCCACCACTACCTACCTACCTACCTACCTACCTGTGCCCTAGGGCGCCTCGGTTTTCACGGCCCTCTAAGGCCCCGCGACCCGCGACCCGCCCCTTAGCGACTCGCGCGCCGCCCCTTAAGGCCCCGTCGGCCCACGCGCTCGCCCTTAGCGGCCCCTAACGGCCCCGCGCTCGCCCCTAGAGGCCCCAATCGGCCTCGCGCTCGCCCTTCGCGGCCCCTTACGGCCCCGCGCTCGCCCCTAGAGGCCCCGAACGGCCCCGCGCTCGCCCTTAGCGGCCCCTTACGGCCCCGCGCTCGCCCCTAGAGGCCCCGAACGGCCCCGCGCTCGCCCTTAGCGGCCCCTTACGGCCCCGCGCTCGCCCCTAGAGGCCCTGATCGCCCCCCCCCCCCAGAACGAGCCGCCCGACCCGAGCAGCCCGAACCGAGCCACCCTGCCCGAACCGAGCCACCCGAACCGAGCCTCCCATCCCGAACCGAGTCGCCCGAACCGAGCCGCCCGAACCGAGCCGCCCAGCCCAAACCGAGCCGCGCCGCCTGAACCTAGCCGCGCCGCCCTTCCCGAGCCGCGCCGCCCTACCTGAACCGAGCCGCGCCGCCCGTACTGGACCGAGCCGCCCTACCTGAGTCGCACTGCCTACTGTTTTTGGGGTGCCCCTACTGCTATTACTCCTACTACTACTATGGCTAGCCCTCCTGTACTGGCTTTCGATGCTAAGGGCCGCCCAGTGAAGTTCGAAACTTGGCTAGATGACCTACACCTCCTCCTACAGCTCACTGCCAAGGAGGACATCTCACTGTACGATCACGCCCTAGGCCATGCTCTTGCTCCTGCTGCTACTGCTGACAGCACTGCTCGCTCACAGTGGCAGACTCGTGACGCCCACGCTCGCTTCGCTATTCGCAACTCCCTGCCGATAGATGAGCGCGAGCACTTTGGGCAGCACAAGACTGCACAGGCACTGTACACTGCTGTCGTTGCCCGCTACTCCTCACCGGCCTCTGCTGCACTAGGCCGTCTCTCTCTTCCCTACCTGTTCCCCGACTTAGCCTCTTTCCACACAGTCGCTGACCTCATTACGCACCTCCGCACTAGTGAGGCTCGCTTCCGCGCCGCCATGCCTGATGAGTTCCTTGCCAAGAACCCACCCCCACTCTGGCTCACTCTCTACCACCTAGTCACCCGCCTCCCTGACACTCTACGCTCAGTCAGGGACCACTTCCTAGCTCGCTGCCCCACTGAGCTCACCATTGCCCTCCTCGAGAAGGAACTCCTTGCAGCTGAGGCTAGCATAGTCGCTGTAGGTGCCTCTCGTGGCGGCCCCCGTACCCCGTTCTTTGAGGGGTGTTCTCCTTCCCCCCTTCTTCCCTCTGTCGCCTCTGCTGCTGCTGTCGACCTCCTTGGTGCTGAGAAGGTCGGGACTGCGTCTGCTTCGAGCGGGCGCCGCAGCGGCAAGGGCAAAGGGGGCAAGGGCGGTGGCGGTGACAGCGGGGGAGGCGGTGGTGGGGGCGGTGGCGGCGGTGGGGGTGGTGGCGCGACTGGAGGGGCTAGTGGCAGCGGTGGGGGTGGTGGCGGCAGCGGCAGGGGAGGTGGCAGGGGCGGAGGTGGTGGTGGGGGTGGCGGTGGACGCGGCGGCGGCAGGGGTTGGGGTGGTCGAGGAGGTGGCGGCGGTGGTGGTGGTCGTGGAGGCGCTGGCGGTGATCAGAGCCAGCAGCACACTCCGTCGCCCCAGGAGGTCCGTGAGTGGTACTCTCAGCACGGG